TATCATAAGCCTTAATTATTATATTTAAAACTAAGCAAAAGTTACATAGTCCAAGATTAAATTACTTAAACCGAACGAAAGATAGACGAAGCAAGTCTTAGTTTTTCTTTCTTTTCAGTCTCCAAGAATCCAAACTCAAAAGCAACATTCATAACAAAACTAATACATATAATTAGCGATGGTCTACACTATTTCAAGTGTTAATACTATTATCTTAATTGTTAGTCGAATACGTCGTCTCCTCCATCACCGTTGATCTTACATTCACCGTTGATCTTACATTCGGAAGCTCATGAGTCAACGCTCCGGTCAAGTTGTCGAAGTAGTTATTCTCATTGTTGCTCAGAAACAGAGCATCCCCTGTTTCATTGTTTCTCGAAAACAGAGCAAACTCTGTTCGGCTGTTTCGGGTCGTGTTATACGGAACTCCGACCATCTGAGAAGCTAAATAAGCAGCGGATGATTCTGTGAAGCTTGCAGGTTGGTCGACTGGAGAAGTAATAAGGTTTTGTCTTGTTGTTATGTGACTGAGATCGTCCGTTGAAGCTAAGAGAGACTGTGAGTTGTATTGGTTGGTCTCAGGAATCGCCGGATAAAGCCAAGATTGTGGGATTGATCTTTGAGAAGATACCGAATTCGCTTTCTTGAATATTCTGCATATCGCCCAAGCATCCTACAAAATAAAACCGTAGACAAAATTCGATTTTTAGACAGTAACAAAAAGTAACTTCTCTTGCATGTAAAGCAAGTTAGGGTAAATCTAGTTACTTACGTTGGAAGGAATCTCTTTACTGTTGTTAATGAGTTGCTTCTTGCTATTGTAGTTTGTATATGACGAGTGCTGAGAGTCAGAGAGAGAAGGGAGACGAAATTCGTGCATCATCCAATCGGTTTTGACTCCTTTAGCAGCTCGACCACGATAGAACACAAGCGATTTCTTAAGACCGATGCATCGAGTTGAGTCCAATGAGTATATAGGCCGGTCAGTTCCAGTTGCTTTCCAAAATCCGCCTCCGGTTACTCTGTTAGGCCTCGTGCTGTTCCGGTATTTCCTGTCTCTAGGACAATAGAAATACCACTCTTTCTCTCCCATCGCCGCAAGCTCTTTTAGTCGACATTGATTCAAGAAAATGCATAATCAACATTTTGATTTGGAGATAAACATAGAAACTAAAAGTTTTAGGGCTTACTTGGGAGGTCCCATGGATCGTATTTGTAAATGTCGACTTTCTTGATGAGTTCAAAGGGAAGAGATTTCTGTAGAACCTTCCGTTTCAAGTAGAAACTTACGAGTTCTTCATCGGTTGGATGAAACCTAAACCCTGGCAAAACGACGTCGTCGTCGTCGAATCTTCTTACGTTGTTACTCTCTTCATCATCCATAACTAGAACCATAACACAAAGAGAATTAATACTTTTTGGATTAATATGAAATAAATTGACCAAAAGAGAATGAAGAGAAACAAAGAGATTTATAGAGAAAGAAAAGAGTGTTTGGAGAAGAATGAAGAAGTTTCTTAGAGAAGAAGAAATGTGTTCATGGGGAAACGATAATTGGACCGGAAAGTGATGCGTATGTTTACGACCAATGTTTCTAGAAGAAGTGGAGGGTTTTGCAAGAAAGATTTACGATTTATGTTTCTTGGATTTCGTTTTTTTTTTCATATTTATATTTTTCCCCAGATTTAAGGACATATTCAAACTTCAAAGTTACTGTATACCTTTTATAAGGCCATCCACATTGGAGACATTTTACCAATGTCTCACAATATAAAAATATTAAAAACACACTTTTTTTTCCTTTTACTCAACTTTATACTTTCTCATTCATCCTTTTACTCAACTTTATACCTTCTCTTTCATATTTTTACTCAACTTTTATTAATTTTATATTTAAACACACCCCAATTCTCTCTCTCTTATGTCTTCCCCAAGACACAATCTCTCCAAAAATACCCACTATCTCTTCTCTTTACTCAAATTTTATTAATTTTATATTTCAATACACCACACTATTTCAACAAAAAACACTCTCTTTCTTCCTTTTACTCAAATTTTAATAATTTTATATTGTGAGACACCCACAAAATATCTCCAATGTGGATGCTCTAACACCTAATCCTTTTCATTTTTAATGAATATTTACCATTTGTCCAAAAAAAAAACAATCATAATTGATCAACAAAATACTAAATATATATCTCTATTTAAGAAGTGAAAGATTTTGTGTTCAACTTTTTGTTTATCATTAAAACTTAAACCTCATATCCTCGTATGTAAGCATGCAATTAAACAATTAAAAAACTATCATTGTTTTTTTGTTTGTTTAAACTATCTTGATCCAGTAGTTGATCAAATGTTCATTAATAATTATGGAGATTTATGGAGATAACCTTACTGGAAAACTTCAGCGTTGTGCAAGTAGAACCGTTCGTCGTTATCAAACGCATCGAAAGTAAATGTGTGGATCCATAAGAATCGATTAGAATTACCTGTTGTAGAAATGTAAGAAAACCAAAAATAAACGTTTTTTTTTTATAAAAAAATATATTTAAACGGGAATAAGGTTCAAACCCTTTAACAAAACAAAAAGGTTCAAAGTTCAAACAAGTGTATTTAGTGCCACAGTGTTGAATATAGTGCCAAATAAGAAATGAAAAGAAAAATCCACGGCAGGTTAGTCAAATTGGGCATTGGTAAAATCGAATGCATTGCTTAAGCTTGCTATATATGTCACCAAGTTTGAGACATGTAAAAACATAATGTAGAAACGACGATTTCGTGGTAAAAATGTTAAACCAAAAAAAAGGCATGGGGTTTTTAACCCACGCAACACAAGTCGGAAGTTTGGTCAATAGCTTTTAACCTAAGCTTTATATTTCTCTTTATATGTGAAACATTAAAGTTATCAACCCTCGTTTTCTCTTTTTTGAAATATTTATTAATGCTGTGACAAAAAAGAAAAATGAAAAAATGAAATAGTATTTATTAATGCTGGGAAAAACCAAGTATATGCATAGTTCCAAACCTAGATCAAAGCGACCGGTTAAATAGCGGTAAGGTGTTCCGCGGCTGGAATCTATCGAAATTTAGTCATATTCGGATAAAAAAATGTGGCTATAGAAAAAAATATTTTTTTCTCGACACTTGAAATGTGAAATCGATAAAATCTTGATGGATTTAGGATTTTTGTCATAATATTGTTCTTTACTAAATCTTCTTCAGTAATAATATTTGTATCTAGATTGACTGCTCATGATCTCACACATATGAGTATGTTACATTTTGCATAGTACCCCTGTTCCAAAACAGCGGTAAGGTACTCGGCGTCTGGGATCTATCGAAATTTAGTCATATTCGGATAAAAAACTGTGGCTATAGAAAATATATTTTTTCAACATTTGAAATGTGAAATCGATAATAACTTGATGGACTTAGGATTTTTGTCATAATATTGTTCTCTACTAAATCTTCTTCAGTAATAATATTTGTATCTAGATTAACTGCTCATGATCTCACACATGATGTTACAATTTCAATAAGAACAAGAGACGATGACTTTCTCGCATTAAGTCTTATCTTTCATTGGTCATGTTGAAAAATAAAGTAGTGACAAACACTTTTAATTCCAACAAGAAAAGAGACACCTTGATTAGACAACCAACGTCTGCTTAAAAACACAATCATATATTAATCTTCAGTTACAGAGTAACGTATGTCACATGTTCTTCTTAAAGCTCATCACTATGAAATTTTGATCAGTATACTAACATAAACTTTATACATTGCATTCAATTAGAATACATCAAAACCACTAACGATCCTGGTTTCTATGACGTACCAAAATGTCTTTTCATTACTTTAAAATTCTCATACTTTCGAAACTGCAGTTGTAGAAAATTATAAGTCTGAGACTTGGGGAGAGAGCCTTTATCATCATCATCGTATATTTTAATGACTTTACGTCTCTCCGAGAAATCCTCAAAGCCTCCCATATTGCGGTCTACAAGAAAAGCATATTTTGTCTTACCTTGATCCATGCTATTAACAATCTGATGAAGAAATCACTATATAGACAAAGAAATTTAGGTACCTTCCGAAACCATTTAATTATGGGCTCAAAGTTTTTGTTTGCTTAGAGCTCTTTGAGTTTTTCATATATTTGTTTTTGTCTTTACGAGGTGTGTTATCAATATACATTGATTTTATCTATTCACACCACATGCAAAAGATAGACGTAATTAAGCTCCAAATTTAAATCTCACGCATGTTGTATACTTAAATCTTTCGGATTTCAAACGTGCTTATGTAAGTTTCAGCTCAATTACATTTGTTTGTACAAAATTGGCTCAACAAAGTTTTACGAACACATACGTCTTCTTATGTGTCAACATTTTCATGTGAATATCTATTTGTCTAGATATTGTTATAATTAATTTCAATAAATATAAATTTTGTTATGGAAAAATTTGGAGTAGATTTTGTTATAATTAATTTCAATAATTTCCATAAAAAATTGCCATGTCATAATACTTTTTAAGCCATGTCATATTTTTTTGTTGTGAAAGTGATTATGGAAGTGACACATAAATTTTTCCTCCAAAATCACTTCACAAATAATGATATAGGGATGGAATATGTAGTTTTCATTGATTTCAAATTAAAGTGTCAAAGAAATATAAATTTAGTTATGAAAAAATTTGGAGTAGGTTTTGTTATAATTAATTTTAATAATTTCCATAAAAAAATAGCCATGTCATAATACGCTTTAAGCCATGTCATATATATATTTTTTTTTTGGAAGTGATTATGGAAGTGACACATAAACTTTTTCTCCAAAATCACTTCAAATAATGATATAGGGATGTCAAGTTATAAAGAGAATTCTTTGTAGTGAGATAGAGATTTTTGTAGTGAGATATTTACCGTGACCTGAGCAGAATTCTTGATATCTTTCTTCACAAAGATATCCAACTTCACCTAGAAAAACAAAGTATGGTGAGCTTTAGACAAGACTCCAACTACTTAAATGAATTATTTGGAAAATAGGAACCAAACCTGCAATTTTCTTTTGGTTTCGAACTTCGATAAGGTGTATGCTTCCATCTTCCACTCCGTCTTCACCTCTTTCGGGCCAGTCTTGTGGTGGAATGTATATGTCTTCTTTTTACCAGCAAACTTCATGCCCTTATCGCCCATCTCTTTAGTCTAGCCTCCTACTACCCACCTCCCCTTGGTAGTGTCTCGTTTAATGAGTGAAATATACTGAGATATGTGATAACCGTATCAATTATATAATGAAAAGCCTAAAACAATGTATCAGCAACG